GTTAGCTTTGTAAACACATAAAAAATAACGAAGATTTAAGTAGTTCATCTGCCTAGTGGTTTTCTGGTTGCTTTTAACATTTCAGATAACAGTGAATTTGCTCAGATGTTATATAGTCAATACGAAATTTACTTATTATTTATTTATTTGAACACATAAATATTGGTAGAAGAGGGCACCAAATATATATGCGCCACACAAAACGACCAGATTAGTGTACGGTAGTGTAATAATAATAACGATGGGTGAACAAAAAGAATCGACCAGAAGAAACAATTCAGTTAAGGAATATACAACCAATTTTTATGAATAAAGTAGAGGAAAGTTACAGCAGGATCGCCACTGGCTTCTCTTCGAGCCATATATGATAACGTCTCTAGCCCACTGTGTCGCACCATCTCTTGAACCAAAGCTAGGGAGTAGTGAAGGACAACAGAAGCTAGCCGTTTGCAGCTTTCTTTCATACCACGACACCATGTCATACACTGACCACCTCTCCGCTTTTTCCAACCAGTCCTAGAGTCGACAAATAATGCACAACGGGAAATTCTGTGGGACGACAGTCGTAAAACATGTTCAAGCCACCGAAGTCAGTGTTTCAAGATGGTGACACCAGTTGGATTATTGTCTTTGTGCCCGAACACACGATGCCACTGAATGTCAGCGATCCTTCGAAGACAGCGATGATCGGACACAAAGAGTCGTCTAACATCCTCAACTCGGAGAGGTAAGGTTTCACAAGCATAGGCAAAACTGCTCTCACCGACGCGTTGTAGATACGAACTTTTACAGCCAAACTCACATCACGAAGGCGCCAAAGGTGGCCCAGACTGGCATAAGCCTCTCTGGCTTTCACTATACGTGCATTGATCTCATCACTCACGCCACCACTAGCACTTATGCAGCTACCCAGATACACGAACTTCTCGACTACTATCTGCTCACCATCCAGAGTGAGTACAGGATTAGAATGCTGCCAGTCTTGTAGGAGTACTTTTCAATTTGAAGGTGCACACATTATCGCACAGTCAGACAATATCATCCGCATACTCAAGGTCGAGAAGTCTTGCTCCAGGCCACAGATCCACACCACCATTACTTACATCCATCAGAGCTGTTTCCAGAATGTCATCGATGGCAAAGTTGGAGAGGAATGGTGAAATTGGGCAACCCTGCCTAACCCCACTGCTCGAATGGAATAGTGGAGAGAGGTGGTTGTATGCCCTCACTCTGCCTGAGGTGTTTGTGTATAGGGCTTTTAGGATGTTAATAAACTTCTCAGGCACACCCTTCTTCAATTAGCAATCCTAGAGAAAAGTCCTGTCCAACGAATCGAAGGCAGCCCTTATATCAAGAAACACTACGATTGTTGGCCTTTGATAAGTATGACGGTGTTCTAACATTTGGCGTAGGGTGAAGATATAATTAATACATCCTCGACCAGAACGAAACCCAGCCTGCTCCTCGCGAGTCAATCTTTCTCGGGTTTTGAACAACCTACGAAGTATGACGGAAGCCAACAGCTTGGACGCAATCGGAAGTAGACTTATCCCCCGATAGTTGTTACAGGAACGACGTGAACCCTTTTTAAAGTTAAGGACAACTATCGACTCACTCCATGACGTTGGTACACTCTCTAGTTCCCAGACTTTTGTAAACAACGTCGTCAGTCCCTTAGTCAGAAAGTCACCACCATCTTTAAAAAGAGCCGGAGGTAAGTCGTCTGAGCCCGGTGATTTGTAACATTTCAAGAGTTGGAATTCCTTGCGGACTTCCGCCTCATTTGGTGGATCAGTCGTCACCGGTCATGGAGGGCAGGACAGTCTGACCGATGTTGCCGGAGCAGCAAGTCAGTTGAACTGCCCTTCGAAGAATTCTGCACATCGTCCAAGACATTGATATATGTTAGTGATTGGAATCCCGTCATCCTCGTAAATAATCTGAAAAGGACGATATTTAATGAAACAATACAAAATCTAGACGAATGGACGATAAATCCCACATTCCCAAAGATTATGACTTAACAGATATGAAACTTAGGATGCTTGATGTTTCTGAATCCAGCCTGCATTTTAGCAAAATTCAAATAAAAGTAATGGTATAAATAGCCGTATTTTCGTTCCAGTGGCTTCCTAAAAATTATGCGTAGGCCTAATGTACTAACATTTTAGGCTTCACAATGTTCAACGGCACTGTTTTCATCGATGCTTTTTGTTGTGTTTGCACCAATGATAGCGCTCACGGAAGACACGAAGACTTTAGCAGCATCGAAATCGTCTACCGTAACTTTAATATCTTTTTTGTGGCTCACCAGTATAATGCAGCATTTTGTATTTCACAACAAACCAGTCTTCTGTTACATTGACCGTCAGTCAGTGACAACGTAGAACTTTGTACGTACGTACATCAGTTCGAGTTGCCATACTACATTAGCACAGAGATTCAGTTATCGATTCAAATCCCGTAGTGGTAGTGAAAGTATAAGTAGTGATAGGGAACATTAGGGTTTGATGATGTTATTTAAGGAGTATAATACAGCAGAATAGATTTGGAAAGAAAATAAAGGACATGAAGAATTCAGAAGACTGGAGTTTGAGAGAACACAAAGAGTGGATGCACCCGATTTTGAGTCATGTCATTTAAGATATCTAACCATCGGTTGCTATCACCTCACGGTCCCCAACCAGGTAGTCTACACCTACCAACATGAATCAGTCCACTTGTCAGTGACTTCATGGATTTGTGCCATGTATTGTTCTGGCCGGCCCAAGCGTTCTTTCAATCTACTCCTACACCATAAATCATCACATGTCGGGGCAGTCGATGGCCGGGCATACGTAACACAGATTAGGTTTCACTACTTCAATTGATTTGCCATCCTTACCTAGTAACTGTTTCCTAACAATTGAGTTACTTACTCGGTGATTCCATGACAGCCTTTATAGGGTTAATGTACTTCTTTGGTACTCCTTTCAGTGACAAACACAGTCACAAAACCTCACGATCAACAGTCAAACACCGCCTTAAGGTCGAGAAATACTACGATTGTGGGATGTCTGAATATGTGTCTATGTTCTAGGACCTGACGTAGTGTGAGTATCTGGTCCATACAACCAGGTCCAGGTCGAAAACCAGTCTGGTTTTCTCTAGCCTGCTCTTCACGAGCTTTAGTTAGGTATCCAAGTATTACTACTTTTTGTACATCGACTGACAATTACATTCTCATATTTATCTTGTAATAAACTGGCCGTGTTACCGATAAGTAAAGGTAGGTTTTGAGTTTGATACGATGACAGCTTTTCTATGGTTACTGTCACACTCGAGCCCAGATAAACAAGGAGGGTTGTATACAGTACCGGCAACAGTACAGAAAACCTAGCTCTTCCACCCTATATACACTGTGGATCACTAATGTAGATGATCTGTCGAATGAACGGAGGCCAACTAGGGTTAGACGGGAGTGGTGTGATGAACCAACTGTTACGTCCAAGTTTCTGCTTGTTTCCGTTATTGAAGTACGGTATATTTATCTATTTGCATTTCACGAACCCAAATTAACAATAGAACCAAACTCCAATTTAGGTACCAAAGTCTATTCGCAATTTACAAATAGTCGACCCAAATGCCGTTCTAACAATAATTATAACAATTATAGAAACAAACCTTCAATATATATATAATATATATATATATATATATATATATATATATATATATATATGTCAAACAGGGAATATGTATTGTGTTCCATGTATAAAAACTTACTATTTCTTTTACCAGTATGTATTTAAACACAATAAAGATCAGTTAGTTAGTAATTGCTTTTCTGTTCTATTCATTTCTATTTACATAAAGCCGATGCGTGCAGGTTGAAATCGAATAACAGCATACACTTATCTTGCTCATTCATAAAATATGTAATCTCCAGGTATATCTTACAAGAATTGCATACAGTTGATAACCAGCAAGTAAATATAACATATTTATTACAAGCCGAACTAGAAAAATACTGGTGTATTAGCAACTAGTTATTAGCATACACTATAAGTAGTCAATTAGCCCTACAGAAATCAAACATAACGTTTGATATCGTCAAACAGTCACATAATATATAATAAATCGTAAAATCCTACTGAGATTTAATCAGTATTGGGGAGATTATAGAAAGTTGATCAACATTCATAACGACATACTGTGTCAGCAATATCAGTAACTTCATAACATTTGATTAGATGTGACTAGTTTGTACTTAATCACTCAGTGATAGATTTTATTCGATGAGGAAATGAGAAAAATGAACACCAATTAGATAGAAATAGAAAGGAAGGCCCAGAACAGAGTTGGCGAATGCTGGTAGGCGCCCTATGCTTCACTGGGAGTAAAAGGCGTAAGAAATAAAGGTATCTACGAAGTAATAACAAATATTGTGAGTTTTGAAGACGTAACAACAAACTAAAACTCGTTGACAACAAATTAGGATTTTAATAATATCAACATAATAATACGTTTGGATAGATGTCACAATTATTATTTCTACATATACTCATAAAATGGACAATAGGCGTCTATGTCAAGAGTTAACTATTGATTCATCTATTCACTTTTTATTTGGTAGTAGAGTAATATGGAAAATCAGTGTAGATTACACTTTATAATAACTGCGCACATGCTGAAACATTGTTACATTCTTGATTACTAAAAACATACATTTTCGAGGTTCTTATTCATGCCTGAGATCTGGTAATTCCAAGACTTACTTTCTGTGACGCATAATCGCAGATAAGTATAACAAGATAATTTGTGTCATTACTCTTAATTATCAGTCAATGATAACTTTTAATTACAAAAGTTAGATTGCGAGTTCTAGCTTATACATGTACGCATCTGAATTGGGGAAACAATCAATGTTAGACGGAAAATTAAGACTTAAATTGTTGTACTAATATACACTATGAATCCCTCATCCTCATTCAATTTGCATTAATAAATTACAAGAAATAAATGAAGTGGATATTATTTATTGTTGCCTTGATAAAATATACACAACAGCACTTGAAATGCGGAGTGACTTCTTTCATAGAATGTGGGCAATTCAGAGGAAGTCAATAAAAATACAAAGATGGTTATCAAGACTACTTCACATCTTACAAATTAAGAGTAGTGATGATATGTGAATGTATGAACATGGATCAAGTTTGTGCTTGTAATTTCGGCTCTTGGTTTTGTTTTTGCTCTTGTTGAAGTTTACGATTTTGAATCCTGTGAACAATTCGTTCAAGTATCCGTCGAGCATCACAATCAGGGAAATTAGACATATCATAATATTGAGGAGCGATACGCACAAGCCTACATGGGGAGAGAACATGAAATAAGGGAAGTACTGACAATACAGTAAGAACTTTGTGAGATAATAATAGAGAATAAGAGATAGTAAGAAGTTTTATTGTTGTTTTCTTAAAAATACTAACACCCATTGTCGAGTCACCTATATTAGTGGCCACAATGCAACATAGTCGACAGGATTCAATCTGCAATAAGAAGGACCTGACACACATGACACTGATCACTACCCAGTGACCAACCAATTGTGGATAGATCTCAATCCTACAAGAGGTCAGTCGCGGCCCGGATAGCCTAGTGGTAACGTCTCTGACTGTGAAGCTGGGTAACAAGGGATCGACTTCATCAGGGAGCATCAGTTCCCTCAAGATTACAGGTACACCTTGCTGACAAGTACCAAATAGCACGAAATTCAAGTTTAGGATTTCCTGTTAACAACCTCCAGCAATCATCTTATCTCGACATATAGTGCACACAATGTCGAGTCACCTATATTAGTGGCCACATTGCAACTTGGTCGATAGGGTTTGATCTGCACTAACGAGGACCTGATACACATGACATTGATCACTACCCAGTGATCAATCAGTTGTGATTTTTTGGAATCAATTAGGTAATTGCAATTATAACTGAAACCACATTCTATTCACTCCTTATAGCTACGCCTTAAATAAACGGTCAAAATGAAATTTATTTCTATATTGATAGAATTCTTGTTGACTAATTCGATTCAACATTTCTGTAGAGTATTTTACTGCACATTTATGTATTTTAAAGTAAATTCATTTGTTTCTATTCAAATGCTGACACAAACAAAATTAATGTGTAATGACATACTTATGAATGAATTTACATTCAAAAAATAAAGTCCATTAAAAAATCATCTATTCATTTTACAGATTTTACTGAAAAAATATATATGCATGTAAAAAACCGATAAAAGTATAACTCCAATACAGTTTTAACTAACAAAGTAATGATGTATTAAATTGAGCGCTATGCGTGTATGGGTGGTAATCAGAAGAATTTTCACTAGTTGTGTAAGAGCATACAGGTTAGTATGATAGTTAAAATGTACACTTTGTAGACTAAGAATAAGTTGCATTTCACTGAGTTTTAGAAAAGTTAACTGAATATGAAAACTATAGAAAGCTTACCAATCTGGTTTTACTTCAGTCACTGTACGTATATAATTCTTTGTCGTAAGGACGAATTCATTGTACAACACCCATTCCGGTTTGTGATCCATTACTGTAGAGGGGTGAAGCTGGACCACTTGGTTGTCTTTTACAGTTAAATAATGTCCAGTACGTTCAAGATGCGCAACCTGGGGAGGGAGAATAAATAATAATTAAGTCGACTAATCTTGCTTTAGAAGTCCAGAGTAATAAAAAAATTCAGCAGATTACAACTATGCATATGTTTAGTTACAATCCAGGATAATATGAAGACTAATAATAATACTACTACCAAAACAAAAGGGAAAAATTGGATTGTAAATTGAACCGATGATACAAATGATCGAAAATAAAGTTTTGCATGTAAAATAACATTCATTTGAATTGTAAGTACAGTATTTATTTAGTCCTGTGAGGAAATCATACCAATGAAGAACATTTCGAAAAGGATGAATAAAAAGTTCGATCTTATTATCGACAAAAATAAATTCGGTAAACAGATACATATTTAAGTGAAACAAAGAACTTTCTCTGTTATACCTGCATGAAAAAGCCAGATACCAAAGCTTTTCGAATGTTAATGTAATAATCTCGAGAAGTGAAATCTGTACTTGAACGACGAAGAGAAAATCGATCCATAATACGTGATAATTGTACCCGAACGTTGTCAGCAGATTTTAATGAGCGGAAATTTATGAAATTATCATAACACCACTGTGGATCTTCATGATCTATGAATGTAAAAAACAAGTTAATTTGTGTTAGAAAAATAAATCCAAACTAAAAATGAATTCTTACAATAAACACATTTTCGAAATTATATTACTAGTATCATGTAGTGCTCTCAAGTGACCAACTGAATAGAAAATCTACGGAAAGAGATTTAATCTTATCTGGAGTATCACATTGACCTGAAATTATTCAGTCACTGGCTTGAAAAATCCACTAGGTTATCTAGTTCAGTACCACACGTAGTCGAAAAACACTACAGATTACTTGGAACTACATCAATAGATTAACAGCTATGGCCTTTGAGCTTTTTATCATGAAACTGCCAGTGTCTTACTTTCCTCATTTAGAAATCACTTATTCCAAAACGGGTAGTCTTTGATTTAACTCTCTGCGTTTTGATAATTTGTGGGGATGAGGTACCTTGAAGGATATCCTACAAGTGGTTCGATATATTACTTCACACAGTTGTAAAACCTATATGAAATGACAACAATCATGTGGATAACAGAGAACTTGGCAAACAAATTTTAAAAAATGTTCAGCGGGCAATTCATAGGTCACAACTACCACTAAACTACACCGGTCAACAGAAATGGGAACATTGAATTTAGGTAAATTTGTGACTGCCTGTTGGTTTTGTGATCATTGAGAAGACAAGAAACGCGAGTCATGGACCATGCAGACCTGGTATCCACTGGCATATTTGGTGATCTCAATATTTTCTCTATTTGAGGGACTTCTGATGCTGGATAATATCACGTCTAGTAATAGGCGTGGGAAAACTTATTTACTTGAACTATAACCATGAGCCTTTACAAATCTAACGAAACGTTAACAGTAGTGACAGTCAATTCGGGAAGGTGCATTCACATCTAGCGATTGCAGTGGGCCCCTAGCTTTATTTTAATCATACTGTTGGTGAGCAGAGCTTGGTCGGTTAATGTACAGGACACCCATCAACGGCATAGTGGGAGTGTTAAACCAACTTCGTATTTCTTAGCAGTATATAGAGACGATGGTGGATTCCTGTACATCTATAGATAATCACTCCAAATTTCTCCACATTTCAATATATGTAGACTTGACGTGGTAGATTAAGAACGGCGCCCCAGGCTCTCTATGGAGTTAGCTACACAGCCAACCAGTCATACGCAACGCCGAACAGGGCGATTCCCAAAGTAACAAAGGTGGTAAGATTATGTGGTAATACAAAAGACTAAGCAACCAAGATGCAATTTGAGAAAATATAAATTGATGAAGTAATTGAAAATGATTTATGAGGAATTTGGAAACTTAGGATCTAAGAAGACAGAGTGGATGCAGTTGAGCCAATACAAACTATTTTGAGACAGGTCACCTAGTCTTTGACCAATAGTTACGATATTGGTGGACCCAAATCTAGTCTGTACCTACCTACATGGCTTAGTTGAACAGTGTCTTCATGGACTGATCCCATATTTTGATTTGGCCGCCCTAATATTTTCCAATCTACACCAGACAACATCGCTCGTCGAGGAAGGCAGTGGTTGGGGATATGTAACACATGTTCGCAATCACCTCAGTTAATGAAGATTTGTTAAGTTATCAAAGATTTGCCATCTTTACCTAGTACTTTATCCCTAATCGCGGGATCGCTTACTCGGTAATCCCAAAATACATGAGCCACGCTTAAAAGACACCTATGTTCGAACACTAGTAATCTATAAGCATCCCTTATTTTCAATGACCACTCGTTCTTTAGTTGGCAGGCGGAAATCTCGGAATTTATTTTTCTCATGATCTAATATCTTCGATATAACCCGCCAACTTAGCGAGGGTCATAAAATAACATTTTAGTTACATTTTCGGTGAGACTATAATTTATGGACGACCTTTGAGCGACGCTAACGTGACCTCGAGAGTGTTCACCGAATAACTAGGACCAAATGAGGGTTTGGGCACCCGGGCAGTATCACAGCCCTCACACAAATCAATTGAGATTTGTGTGGCGCATATGTATTTGGTGCCTCCCTGTACCTATACTTATGTGTTAAAATAAATAAATAATAAATAAAATGAGGGTTATAAACCAGTGTGAGGAATTAGAATTATGATTTACATTTGATGATTAGGGTTAGGAATTACATTTAGAGGTTTCATCACGAACTGACATCAGCTATAATGACAAAACTCTATTTAGCCAAATGGATGAGTGAATTTCGCGCCAAAATCCGAGACCTGTTATCTTATACGTGATTGGTTCGCCCATAAATTATAGTCTCGCCACATTTCCAAATATAAATTGGGATATGAATTTTCAGAAATCGAGTTTGGACAAATGAAAATTGTTTTTCTGGATGCAATGGAAAATCAATTTCAAGAAATGTTCTTTTAGCTTACTTTGTTTGAAGGCATGATACACATTTAACATAGTCAAATGGTCACCATCAATGTGAGCAAAACGCATTTTGGCTTCGTCTGCAGTTTTCTTGGAGTCGGCAGGGCGTACAAAGCATTGAGGTACTGAAATAAATATGAAAAGTTCCATATATTATAGATATTATCAGACGAGTAATCGGTCAAATTAGTGAAAAGATCTATTACACATTAACTAAGGATAATGAAACAAAGAAACAATTGAACTTGCCTGATAACATTGAAGTGATGCTCAGGATTTCGTTTGAACAGTTGTAATCGCAAGAGGCGATAACCATTTTGGCTAATTGGGGATCAAGTGGGAACTCAGCCATCATACTTCCTAGATCCGTCAGGTTACCATCATCATCAAGGGCTGCCAAATAATTCAATAACTCTAGAGCACGCATCAGAGTTTCCGGAGCTATTACATTCAACAAAAACTCATGATAAGAAAACTGGCATCGTAAAATTTTGGTGAAATGGTGATTAAATTAATGAGAAAAAAGCTGAGTCTTTCTGTTTCACAACTGTTATTCATACTGAAGCTTCTAAATACTAAGTGAAAAGAGCAATTTTATTAGCGAAATTCTATAACCTTAGTACTGCAAAATCTACCTTCCAGGTATCGTAAAATATGCAGATTTTTAGACTACTTCTATTACAATACTAGACTGAGTGTTACTAAAAAGACTATAGAAACCAATATTTGCAGAAATCAGTGTCCGAAGGTTCATTTAGGGTAGTGTTAATAAGTGACAGTTTAGTTGGTCGAATGATGTACAAGTCACAACTTTTATGCCCATTTTAATTACACTCGTAATTCTTTACTAATTACTCAAATTGATTCACTTGACTGAAATTTTGAGACAAAACACTTCCCACAAATATTTACCAACTATATTTCTATTTGATTCAAGAAACTTCAAAAATGAAATTCACACGGATTTATTAAGGTGTAATTCAAACGTCAATACGAATGAATGTCCTGAGCAGCTTATACATTTAAGAAACATAGCAGTGCATGCTAATTTCCCACTAATACAAACCCAAACAAAATATTAGTTCTTCATAATATGGTTTTGAAAGACAGAAATGAAAACTGGCACATCATTTCATTACATTGACATCGGGTTTGTGTCAAACTCGGTCAACCAGTCATCTACAACGTACGACCAAGTACATATATGCATCGGTCTAAGTTGCCATACCTCATTAGAACAAGATGAACATCAAATTCATTGAAGTTACTTTAATGTTAGTAATATATAAAACAAAGATTGTGTATAAGCATATAATACACGAAGAAAGAATTAGAAATAAAGGTATAAATCAATTTTAATCTCACAGTTTCAGGGAAGACAAAGAGTGAATACACCTACGCAACTGTGACCGATTCTGAGCCATGTCACCAAGTCTCCAACCATTGGTTACGATAGTCAAGCGGACCCCAACCAGGCAGTCTGCATCTACCAACATGGTTCAAACCAGAAGTTAGTGTCTTCAAGCACTGATGCCACGTTTTGGTTTGGCCGCCCCTAACTTTCTTCCAATCATCCCTAACACCGGTTAGCATTGCGCGTCGTGGTAATCGGTGTTCAGTCATACGTAACGTGGCCCAACCGTCTAAGTCGATGAAGATTTACAACCTTATCAACTGACTTACCATCATTCCCTAATACCACGCGTCTAACCCCATTATTACTTACCCGGTGATCCCAGCAGATGCGAGCAATATTTCGAAGATACCTGCGATCAAATACTAGTAATTTACGAGTATCCTATATGCGTTCGACCACTTCACTCCCTATCCTTATTTCAGGTGTTGACGCAGGCCAGTCCTGAAGCAACAACTTGCATTTAGAAGAAACGTATTTCAAACATGCTGGTACCAAAACACTGCATTTTATCAGCATCTTCACCAAACAGGACTATGTTATCTGCGTATTCTAAGTTGACAGGTGGACATCCTGGAAGGAGATCAATTCCCGAAAATTCAATCAACGAGAACGTTATCTTCAACAGTACGTCTACGACGAAATTAAAGAGAAATGGAGATAGTGGACAGCCTTGACGGACACCACTTGAGGTTGCAAAAGCAGGTGACAGTTCGCCATAAGCTCTGACTCTACTGGTAGTGTTCGAGCAAAGAGCCTTCACAAGGTTTAGGCACTTCTGAGGTACGCCCTTTAATGACACACTGCCACAAAACCTCAGTCTACAGAGTCAGATGCTGTTTTTAAGCTAAGAAAAACCATCATTTTTGGACGCCGATAAGCACGCCTGTTCTAAGATCTGACGAATGATGAGTATGTAGTCGATGCAGCGACAACCAGGTCTGAAAACAACCTGGTTTTTTTCAGATTTGCAGTTCACGAGTCGTTGTTAGGTTTCCGACAATTACTGACGCTAATATTTTAGATGCTACATTAGTCAAACTAATCCCTCGATGATTATTACAGGATGATTTTGATCCTTTCTTATATAATGAGACGATCGGTAATTGCGACCAGTCAGATGTGATTACGTCCAACTCTCAGATTGTAGCTAAAATATTAGCCAACCTAAGCGCAAAATATAGACCGTCTTCAGACTGTTGAATAATTTATCAATGTGACTTGAAAACAGTTACGTTAAAAGTTTGGTAAGGACTTAGAAAAGATTACCTAAGCATGGGAATTTTAAGCACGTAGTACTAGAGAAAAACAGTTAGTTTAGTGTATAACATGAAAAGTTTTATCTTTTTAGTATCGAATGTTGGGACGGTATTAATATAAAAATGGCATGAAGATTGGTAAGTTGAGCCCACACAATCAAAGAATTGTTTCTACAAGAAACAGCACAAATGTTAGGCAAATAGAAACAAGTTAGATAAATTCAAAAGCATTAACAGTTCCAAAACATGGATTCACACTTAGTACTCACCAGGAGGATCCATGAAGTCAAAATGCACCAAATCATCGATCCCCAGTTTTTTCAACTGGAGGACAACAGTACCCAGGTTTGACCGGAGAATTTCTGGATATGTGTTCTCTTGCATCTCATTTGTATATGCCTTTTCTGTATACAATCTAAAACATTTTCCAGGTCTTGTACGCCCGGCCCTTCCGGCACGTTGTTGTGCAGAAGCTTTGCTGATAGCAGTGACTAAGAGAGATTCAACACGAATACGAGGATTGTAGACTTTCTGCTTTGCGAAACCTGGGTCAATAACGAAAACCACTCCATCAATTGTGAGGGATGTCTCTGCAATATTTGTGGACACTACAACCTATGAGGAAGATCAACAAGGTGAATATATTAGAAACACTGGAAAGTAGTACTAGTATATCCATGTTATATCAGATAGTTTAACTATGGTAAACTTATTTTTTTGAATGAGAAACTGTCTACAGTTGTCTCTTATATCGATTCAGAAATTTTAATCATTTACACTACAAAACAATATAGTTCGTAAGCCCAAGGAACGATTGTATTACACTTTTGGTTATTAAAAAAATAAACCATCCATATAACACATGCTCTTATAACACCCAGTGTCGAATCCTCAATTTTGAGTGAATTGATACAGACTCAGAAACCTTTTTTTATAAGAAATAGATATTATAAGAGTGGATTTTGTTTGAAGTGTAAAATATCTGGTTCTGTTAAGTGAATAATCAAAACAAATTTAAGACAACAGTAAACATCATCAATAAATACATTTTCTCCGTAGTATATTAGATATGTTGTATTCTTATACCACCTAGAGTACAGAAACACCCATTTCTAAGGAATCCAATACTGTGAGATGGCACATCGTAACAATAACTATGGTGATAATATTAGGATGTCAGTCGTCCAAATAAGCTAATTGGATATATTTGATTGAATGTCATAAAGCTTTACTTTGCCTACAACAAGTTCGGTTCACTTTCAAAATAATTTATTGTTTTTTGTAACTATCTATTAACTGTAGTAACTAGGTGAAGTCAAACTTCATACGGCAAAATTTATCGTAGATTGTATTCCATGGAATACCATTCAGATTGTTCATAGCAATCAAAGTTATACTTTCTATGGTATGCTAAAGGCAAAAGATAAAATACACATATGTTAGTCGCGTAACTGAGAATAAGTTATTCTTAGGTAGACAAATCACAATAATAAGGTTAAAATGCAAAATGCACTCCAACAAAAATTGTTCTAACAGGATGGCTACTGTAAGTGGAATCATCTAAAAATAAAAGAAATGTATTAAAACCCTATCTGCAGAGTAGTGAACTACCACCTCATCACGGCACTTATTACATTTAACGTGATCCAAGTCGTTACTGAACTTCGTTTCTAACAGTCAAATTTTGGATTAACGGTTCCGATACGATCATGTAAAACTCACTTTACCTACTTTGGTAGGGACAAACCTTAGACCAAAGTACATAAGCCTGTATTTAGTTCTCGAGTTATATTACTTTTTTCAAAATAGAAGGAATAAAAGAAAACAGAGAGTTAGCCTATAATTAACACTGAAATTTATCTAGTTTGATTAGTTTGGAGTACTGTTTTTGAATTCTAATACAGTCTTTTTCACCAACCAATTGTGATTAAGTGTCACGATGGCTGATAAACACTTGGATAAGCTTCACTTGAATCGCCAGTTACTTAACCAATTTTCGATATTAGTACGAATTAGGACCAACCATCAATGCAAACGCATATTTTGGGTTTCGAATCAGACAAACTCATAAAATCTAAGGAACGTTTAATTAAAACATTTGGCTTTCAATAAGTAGATCCATGACTTGAAACTTGCTGGATGAATTTTTGGTTCAGTAGTCGCATAATATTAATAGCCCCCTTACAACTGTTATAATTCACGTAATAAGTATCAGTTATTTCTATTTCAAAAAAAGTTTAGAGCACCTACTTTACACTTCAAGCAACATTCTTATGAAAATAAAATACCTTAAGAAGTGTTGTTATTTTCTGCTACCTTTCCAACTAATCAATTTACGCTTGCTATCCTTACGATTTTTAAATTTTTTTTTTAGTACTATGTGTTAATTTGGAATGTATGACAAAGCTCATGCTAAGAGAACAGAAACTTGGTAATCTTTGACAGGACACAGTCATTTTAGTACAGAATTTAGCAGTCAAAAATGCGAAGACAATAACGACGGGAGTACAAAAAGTTGAAAGCTAATTATTTTCCTGACCTAATTTGTGAAAAGAATGCAGGAAACAATGAACTACATGTGTGGCTTATACGATAGATACTCAAGAAAATGCCATGCAATGGTTGATTTTTAAGGTAATGGTTAAACAAAGATTATTCAAGTGTGCAATCTTGATAGACCAAATCATATAATGAAACAAAACAAAACCGAATTGTATTTCGAAAACAGTTCTAACCTTTCGACCAACAGCTCCATTTGCACGTTTTGGAGGAGGAGATTCAAAAATTCTTTGTTGAAGATTTGGTGGAAGGGTAGAGTAAAGAGGAATACAACGGAGTTCACCAACGTCCGGGCCCAACCCATCTACTTCTCTCTGGATACGTTTGCATGCTTCCTCAATCTCCTCTTGTCCCGTCAGAAACAGCAATATGTCACCCTCGATCTCTTCGCACATATGAATCTGAATTACAGTACGGATAGCCGCTTCGAGATAATCACGTTCTGGTTCTGGAGTATAAAATATCTCCACTGGATGAGTTCTACCGGGCACGGTCATAAGAGGTGCTTTGTGAAAGTAATCCTGGGTCATTTCGAAAAGGGAAGAAGTAGATGGCTTCATCCAACTCCAAATAAAATGTGATACAACTAGGATACATTTAACTAAACAAATACTTTTAAGATCTATTCATCAAACGGATAAGAACTATGTACTAACTTGAAATTTCCCAGCGTCCAAAGTCGCACTCATGACAACTATTTTTAAATCTAATCTTTGCTTTGTGATTTCTTTAAGTAGACCCATTAAAATATCAGTAGCCAAGGTTCTTTCATGGGCTTCATCCAAGAGAATAACACCGTATGCCTCGAGCAAAGGATCAGACATGCCTTCACGCAAAAGCATACCATCAGTCATGTATCTAAAGCAATTATGGAAAAATCTAAAAGTTACTTCATCACAGTCCTTGAGGACGTGCAATCCTCGAATCGAATACTGTATCCTACTTCTTGACCAAGTTCGACATCCATTTCCTCGGAAACACGCTGAGCAACAGACATAGCTGCCACCCGTCTAGGTTGAGTGCAGGCTACTGCCTTTTTGGTAGGATACCGTCCAGTTACCCATTCCAGGCACCATTGAGGAATCTGGGTCGTTTTTCCAGAACCTGTTTCACCAACCAAAACAGTGACTTGGTTCTCCGATAACGTCTGAAAAAAATTCTCTTTGTATTCCCAAACAGGTAGTTTGATACGCTTCCTCAGAAGTTCAAAGTATTTGGCACTAAACGATTTGCCTGAAACAAGATACAGATTAGACAATTCGATGAACAGTATTTAATATTTCTCACTAACGTGAAAACGTAAGATATAATTCAAATCAACATAAACATTTCCGTTAATCCATCTTTTTCCTGAGTACCCATAATGATGTCAGCAGTAAATGATGGTTACGATCATAGCTCCTAAGTACAAACCTGTCTTTAGGGGAGTAACATTAGTGATCTTATGGAAACATACATTTCTAAACGCTGTGAACGCATAACTTGCATCCATAAAGTATTTCTTTGAATTGTTATCCGCTAAAGAAACAGACTTAAAATTATTTCAAACATCTTCAATGTAGCCATTATATTCGAAACACTAAGCCCCAATAAGGGAAAGATAATCTACAAAAGCCAGTCTTATAAATGCAGATTAAATGTAATTTATAATGGAAGCGCATGGTTATGAGTAAGAACAAGTTAGGAAAAAAGGAACTATTAGTGCCCCTTTATCCATTATTAGCAAGGGAGAGAGCCAGCTTTCTCTCTAGAAATGTTCTCAAGTGACCACGTGCATACAACCACCGCCAGAGAAGTCCTACTCACTGCCTTCTCGTGGCGACGGCGTTGTTTACGAAATTGAGGGGATGAAAAGCGAACGTCCGGCTCTTTAACCGGGTTGGTGGATATGGAGGATCCACCAAGGGGAGTTAAAAAATCGTGATTCCAAACCAATGATTTACATGAGCTCCATGATCCTAAGGAAACAAATGACGTATGAACCTATTGTTGATCACCGGCTACCATGGGACTGCAACTCCTTGCGTTGCTCTACTGCCTTGTGGATTAAACCTTTATGTCAAAGGTTCGTGGTATGGCCTCCTAAGAAAACCACCTGCTTCAGTTTAGGCACCCGGGCAGTATCCCAGCCCTCACATAAATCGAGTTGTGTGGCGCATATCTGTTTGGTGCCTCCTTGTGCCAATGTTTATGTGTTTAAATAAATAAATAAATAACGACTGCGAAATGTGCACCATCATTCATTAAAACTTAGGACAGTAGTTTCTTAACATTCCACTATGGATCTCTATAAAATACTCCTTGAGTGTAGTAGAGCTGTGAAGTGACGTTGTTAGTTAATTATTAGGTAGATGTGGTAGACCACTAGAATGTTTTGATCTTTATCTGAAGTAGCTGGATTTTAAGCACACATACTCACTGGCTACTTCGACATGCAATGAAAGCTAGGATAGAACCAGGCTTGAAAAGCTGAGGCCAGTCATCGACTCCCAGTCCGACATGTTTCGAAGAGTGAAGACTTCTTATATGAGACTTGCACAATAATCGTATATAATTGAAGGCATTTCAGTAAAATTTGATAAAAGGGAAATTGATCAAGTTAAGAAGCCAACCTAATATAACCAGGAAGTGAGTAGTCTTTATGAACTACATTTCCAAGCTTCATGTCATCACCAGATTCCCACAAAGTACAAGTACTACTGAATTAACAAAAGTGGCCACTAATCACAATATCAGATCAACTATCGTATTAACATATTTCAAAAAAGACGAAACTGACCGTTGTAAGGATTTGTTTGTGCTGTGAATGGAGACTTATTTGAAGCATTCTGTTTAAGTTTGACCTGATTATCTGGGGAGCGTGAGCGATCACGTGAGTGATTATCCGGTCCATCAGAAAACCTGTGACAATAATACAGTAATAATGCGAAATAAGATGAGAATATGTCGATGAGACAGGTACTAACAAAAAGCGAAACGCGTAAACTTGATACCTGTGCTACATTGCTTGGGTAAACTGTTTACTGAATTCAAAAAGATACAGAAGCCTATTCGTCTTCAATACAAGGATGCGAAAAATTTATAGTGAATACATTCGCTGAAAAATTACAAAAGGGCTAAGTAGTTATTGTAAACCATGATTACTGTCATAATAAACGAAAACCCCAACCACAAATAAGATCTTATTGACGTAGTGTTGAGCGCTTTAAAAACGGAGAAACTACATTATATTCTTCAGAAAAAGCTACTAGATATGAATATTTGACACCAAGATACAACTATGAACTGGGTTATAAAAGTACTTAACTAAGTACGACTGAGAAAACTAGCTTACTTTCTGATCTAATAAAGTGCTTTGATTGCTACAAAGGACAAAGATTTACCCGACTGCTTGAAGCGTAGATGGTGCTGTGTAGTTTAAGTACATAAAAAAATGTAGCCCTAAACAAAAAGAGCATGATAAGAAAGGTTCTAAATCCACTCATTTTTCATGAAACTTATTTTCGAAATCAGCCTCATGAATGACAAGAACTTAATATTGCATACCACATTACATTTTCAACACCTCAGACTTATCGCCCATCTAGAGTTCAGACAATGAGTAAAGCTTTAGGTTTCTAACACGTGGTAGTTCTATAGATTTTTTTGTTGATCCTCAAACATGATGGCGGATATTAGACATGGTCCATAGTATTAAACTATTAATCAATCATTTACTAAGTACGTCATGTGCCCAGCTTTGAGATACATTTTTATCTTAGTGATACCATGCAAATGCACAAGTCAGAATAGATAGAACGGATTTGAAGCCAAAAGCAACTAATTAGGAACATAAAGCTTTAACCATTGAACGACCACACCAACAAATTAACTATTTCTACATGGTTACCTAATAAGAATTTTATGTCTCCAGAGGGTCATCAGCTTCAGTAAAAACTTACAACTTTTATCTGGGTTGAAAATCATATACAAAAATACTAAACACAGGGTTCGATGGTGTTAAGTTGGAGGGTCCCGTGTACCTATATGACAATAGTGATTTCACATTTAACACCAAACGAGGATAGTTGAGTACCAGCCTTCAGGACTCTAATCCCTGCATGGTGGCGACGGATTTCTTGTCTGTTTATCATTACCTTAAGGTTACCAAGCATTGGGTTGACGGAAGTCGCAACAAAAATACTAATGTGAGACTGACATTTCTATTGATGCATACAACTTGAAGATGTTAAAAAAACAGAACTTAAAAACTGGTCGGAGCAATCACCTCTATTTTCTACAAGATATTAAGTTGTCATACTCCATTATCACACACAAGATTTTTTTGTTTTTTTTCGCAGACACAGTCGTACTTCTGAAACCATGTTAATAGACAGTGAAGTCTTACCATCAGTCAGTCTTACCATAGCTACAAAGTATTTCATAGGTACAAATTTACCGTACTTATATCTCTATGACTGGTTTAACATGTCCAGTGGTTCTAGGAAGCCAGTTTGTTTGAAAAGGACAGGAGGTTTGATGGCCTGTGTTAGTCCTGGCAATAGTGTTCTCACAGTTAATCCAACTTTCTTTTGAAAGAATCGACGAATGGAGCCTCAATCACGTGCTAAGGTAATGAAATCCACTCGTTGATGATTCGATGGGAAATTTGATAGTCAGCTGACAAGTAATTTGTTCTGGGCTTGTAAACCTTTTTGGAGTGCCCTCGTAAATTCTGTTTTGGAAGACAAGAAAATGCCGGAATAATCGCTTCGAAATAACTAACCCAAATTACTCCAGACTCTGGTCATCAAATTCGCAGGATTAATCATGCATAAGATTGAACGAGAAACATGGGATGAACTGCATGAAAAATATGGGGCTATATCTATTTGTAGTCACACGTTACGATAAATTTGGTGAATGACTATCGACCTGAGGGTCAATTCATAGGTGCAGTGTGTAAAGAATAAAGCGTAATTCAATTAAAAATAAGATCCTAATACGTTTTCAGTAATTACCTTGACCGTCTGGGCTTAGATTCACCGATATCAATCCTATGCCTTGACGACATCACACTAAGAAAATACGAAAGCGCGGGAAACTCGGATTGTTTAATAAAACAACATCAATTTACTTTTTGAAAAAGAAACTCCATAATCCGTAAGCCACGTCCTTAAAACAAACAGTTTTCCTGTCAGCTAGTTCTGGAACTGGGTGAAGTTCCCCTTCAATGTTTTTTCAGGTTCAGGTTCGTGTAGTAAGTACAGAAGGCCTATGGCCTACGTAATTCCATGTGTAGTATGTTTTTGTGAGCGTCTATTCTTCTCTTGAATGATTCACTTGAGGGTGCGGAAACCTCTGCTTCGGAAGACAGGTTCCAAGAACTGATGACTCCGTGTGAAAACCTGTATGCCACAGGTATTTTGTCTGTCGTTGACTCTCCTACTCGTATGCTATGTCCTCTGAGATGTCCCGATCCAGTGGGAAGAAAAAGAGGATATATCGGGCTCAAAACCATTTCCTAGCATTCTACACATCAAAATCAGATCACATCTTAATTTTGCACTTGGACCAAGTAAAGGGGTCTAGATTTTCCAACATCTCTTTATATTGTAAATTCCGAAATCGCCAGGTTAGCTGCCCTCTCTACGTTCTCCTGGATATGTAGGTCACCTTTCAAACAGGAGCTTACAGCCTCAACGCAATTATCAAGTTTGAATCTAACCACGGTTGTGTAAACTGTAGTGAATATAGTAGTATCTAACCTGGTGAATGTCCATCTTAAAGCCCATAGGGTTCTAAACCTCTTGACTGCAACCTGGCAGCAGTGAGCAGTAGCTTTAACATCATGACTCACTGTCACCTTAAACTCATTGTGAGACTGAACTACGAGTATTGGCACTTCCCCAATGCTGTACCGATTTACCTTTGTATCACCAAAGTGCACGTTGGCACATTGGCCGCGTTGATAGGTACCAGCCACTGTATTTAGACCAACTAACCAGAATATTTAGGTCTTCCCAAAGAGCACAAGCATCTGTGTCTCCTGTTGTCACATTCCAGAGTTTAACATCACCAGAGTATATTAACATTGAGGACTCGACTACAAACGGTAGTTCATTTACATACAGTACATACAGGATCTAAAACAGAATCTTGCGATACTCCACTAAGTACTGGTTTCCAGGTGGAGCACATGGAATTTATTCTTACTTTCTGTTTACTACTTACCAGTAAATCACTAAGCCATTTCAGGAGAGGTCCGGCAATGCCCAGAATTTCTAGCTTCGAGCGCAATCTTCTTTTTGGCACCTTATCAAATGTTTCGCTGAAGTCTGTGTAGACAACATCCACTGATTTTCCAATATCTAGAACTTATATTCACTTCTCTCTTGTCACAGAGGAGTTATTGTGCAAGATAAACCTCTTCTGAAACCATGCTTTTTATTGTTTAACAAATTGTCAGTTTTCACTAATGTCCGTATGGTCACTTCGATTATTCTTCCCAGTATTTTAACTAAGACACTTGTGAGTATGACAGGTCTGTAGTTTGATAGAAGTTGTCTTGATCCTCTTTTATGTATCGGAGGGACAGGTACATCATTCCAGTCCGTAGGTAACTGACCTTGATCAAGTGACATATTGAATATCACAGTCAGTGAAGCTGCAATATATCGTGCAATTAGTTTAGAAATTTTGTTTTGTAGTTCATCCAGTCCTGTTGACTTTTCCATGTCAAATGTGCTAAGATCCTTGAGTACATCCTCTCGAACTAAGTTCACAATGAGCACACAACTTACTGAGTTTGTATTTGAGTCTAGTTCCTCATCTAGGAGAGGCTCCTGAGTGAAAACTGTCTCAAAATAGTTTGTCATAACCTCTACTTTTTCCTGATCATCCCCCGTCATTTGAGATTCATTCCCTTTCGTAATTGTGTTGTGAATCCAATGCCTTATCCTTGTTCCGTAATTTATGCGCAAGAGTAGTCTTTTAGGCTTCCTGCATACAGACTGGGCCAACCGCATTTCATATTCTCGTTGAGCTTCTTGGATTATAATGACACACATATTTCGTACCGACCTGTAGCGTTCCATCGTACTTGCCCTGCCAAGGGTAATGTCGATGTTCCAACATTTCTTCCCGGTCTATTCACGGATGGCCGTGCTTCTTTTTTAAAACTGAACATTGTATAAATGATTGAGTTGTAGCAATATTTGTCCTAACCACCCAATCCTCAAAGTTGAACATGAAATAACTGAAAAAATAGTTATTCAACATTTAGAAGTTCAGCAGTGGTGAACGCAGGAAAGTTATTAATCGGATGGCATGGCTCAAACTCGCAGGCGTGGTCATTCTAATTCAACTTAACTATTATATTCATATTCATATATTTTCACATGGACTAGCTAATTTATATTTCATATAGATAACTACTAAAAACGTTTTCGGTATAAGATATATTTTATGGCTCCCCCTGACATGCTACTATCAGTGCGTCGTTTTCAGGGAAACGAAATTAAATTAAACTCTTCGTAGTTTTGACAATCATTACCTTATAGTCATGAAGTTTCCAGGCTAACTAGAGCAACCTCTATGTTATAACTCGTCATACTCCTAACCGTTGTTCAGCAAATCATGTCTCAACTTTTAGAACCTTTTTGATCGGTCATTTCTTTTTAAGCGTTATATTCCCCATGAACTCACATTTTAACCTAGCTTATAAATGCGTTGTGTCATATCATCAATGTCATTTGAAATTGACAATTATTTGAACTGCCTGTAACATTTTACACTAAATCCATCATACTCCTTATCGCTATGCACTTTTGGATTTATGGATAACTATATCGTATTGGTAAGATAGCAAAGTCACTGCATTAGCATAATATCGTACAACACTGATATAATGGCCAAGCTATTACGTAATAATTGGTCAAGCAGGCATACAAAATAAACTCTGGATCCTATTATTTAAATTAACACTATATGGACGAATATTTCTGAGCTGCAGTTTGTAATGCAATCAGGCAGCACGGACTCGTTAACGCTACAAGTTTCTGATAATTTAAAAGTCAACCAAAACAACAATACTTATTTTCCACTGAATAATCCCCAATCAACATTATAACCAGTTAAATATAAATGTTTCAGGATATCGTCATAAGGCATTGTCATGGTTCGAAAGTCACGTAATAGGATTGATAAAATTGATGAAAGTATTAATAAATTGGTGAACAAATTGACCTGTAATTACTACTAAATAGTGTTGTTTTCTCGTTTCCTTCATCCATCACAGATGAACCCAATATGTTTCTCTATCGGTTGATCATTCAGTAAATACCTTAAAGCCTTGTCAGTCTAACTGGGGGTTTAGTGACACGAACATGCCTGTAAATCATCAGTATAGGCAATCGAGCAAACCTCCTGCAAACTGAAAACAATGTCGAATTTACCCCAACACTGACTAAGGTTCAAGCCATTATCATAGACATAAGTTGGAAGTGTACTCCCCCATGATAATCACATGATCAGCGCTCGCTGTTTATCATTTTGTAAAGATTAATTTAACCGAAAACGTCTTGCAACACTATGTCACCCATATTTGTGGCACGTAGGTCTCATCCATTTCAGCAATTTATAATTGCTTTGTTTTAAACAAGTTGATATCTACCTGTTGTCAAGCACAATACTTGCAACTAGCTTGTATGCACCATCATCCCGTCAGCATAAATATAAACGATTGGTTTATTGCACATCGAGTTTCCGAGTCAAGAGTATGTCTCTCAAGAATCCACTCATGTTGAACGCATCGCTCGTAGCTATCTGTCCAAAATGCACACAATCATCTCTATTTTCAAACATGATAATTTATGACGACCATTTATATGTATTAGTAATATTACTGAATTCTATCACGGTTAAGCAATAATGAGGCCGCGAACATCCTCTCTCAACTAAATAAATCGTATTATTCTTAATAAATTGGCCTGGAACATCAGTTAGAATTCTTCCGCAGTTATACTTTTGTTCTTCCAGTTAGCCTGCTAATGCTAGTGCAATTCCGAATCAAATTATACGGACATTACACCGCTACAAACGTTACCCGACTTCCTAATTAATACCAAAAATAATACCGATATCATTATTCCTACCACATTGATCATTTTTTTATTTCTGAGCAGAAAATACTTATACTCACTTAAGTCAAGCAATAAACCAACGGTGATTGTCATGCATGTGACTTGCTAAAATATCTTTACCAAATGATTCCTCATTATTACAAGCCCACTTTACTTGACGTTTAAATAATGTCCATGTTCATTTTCATTTCAAGCGTGTTGAGCATTAAACCAGATATTTTAAAAATTTACAACTGTTTCCCAACAAGTTGCTGCCGACTTCTTTTACTCATAATAAATTTATTGATCTATCTTCCGACCAAGTGCGTTATTTCGAAACGTTGATGATTATATTTCTGATTGTTACAAAACAACAAGTCAGAATACACAATGATGGGACTTCTGCGTAGGATGTTATAGATCAGGCAGTCACATCATGACATATTTACGGTGCATAAATGTCGCCTACTATAAAGCTTTTACCCCTATTACACCAGAACTTAAGTTTGCTTAGAAGGAAGTCACACATTACACATTCTGGACCGCCGTATACTACATTAACTTTAGTATCTTGCTGTTTACATTTCAGCCTGAAGCTCACATGTCCGTGAATCATGTGCCACTATCTCGACAGCTTGTAGGTTAAGGTAATTTTCGTGTACGGTTTAGTTTACCAGCCCTACTGGGCGAAATTCCAAGCAACTGAATTCCACTGTCAAGTGCTTCTGACGTGAACCATGTTTCTGAAATGGCAATGACAAGGTCCTCTATGTACAGCACTGTTTCGACCTCCGCCATTTTATTGTGTAGACTGAGAGTATTTGTGCAGAGCACCTTTAATTCTGTGGAGAAATTTCCTTTACTATCCAGAGTAGTTTGGGGATCATTTTGCTCCAAACTTTACTATTTGAAAACCCTTAAAACGAGGTTTTTTCAACATTTCGGTGGCGCTCATTTATTTTCATCTCAGCCAATCGATTCTTGATGCAAACAA